ATTTTTGTTTACATCCTCTTTCAGAAATTATATACTGAGACGTGTAGTTTTAAGCCTATCTTTCCTGTGTGAGGTTTACAGAAAAACCAAAGCTTCATTTTGTATATCTATCTGGGAGAGATATTTATTGTAAGCTTTCTTTGAAAGCAAAAATACTATTTCATCTTGTAAAAGTGTTGCAAACACTGTGTTTTTGAAATCTAGAGAGTGATTATGAATCACTTAAGATTTGCAAGGGTTTGGGCTTGTGAAGTCTGTGTAAATTCTATGGAGGATTGGTCCATGTTTATGAGGTTGCTAGCACCCCTGTGAAGCTAGAAGATAGTGAAAAATCTCAAGTGAAGCTTGAAGAGTGGATGTAGACTTGGTTGAAGCCGAACCACTATAAATTTGTTTGTCTCCTCTTCCCTAATCTCTTTACTTTCCTACTACTGCTATAGCTATCTAATATTCATATGTTAATGATTTGATTTACCTTGTATGTTAGTTATACTTCATTGTTATTTTGCTTGATTATTTACTGCTAAGTTCATCATTGTGCTTGTTAATAATTTGTTGTACTAGTAGTTAATTTTATTGGGATATTATTAATTTTAATTTGTAGAAACCTAATTCACCCCCTCTTTTAGGTTGTTTTTTTGGATAACAGTGGGCATGGAAGATGTGTACCAAGCCACAAGTAATTAGTCCTCCAGACTGCGTCGGTGATCAATGGGTACATAGGGTTAAACCACTAAGCTCCAAGCAGAAAGAGGAATTGACAGAGGATCAGTGAATTAGATGAATCGATGGTGAATTCGCTCTCTTAGTTTGGATTCATCATGTTCTGGCCAGCTTCCCCAGCCAGTAGACCTAGAGGAAGAAGGAGTAGCTGTGTCCTATACAGAGGGTGGTGGGGCAAAGGAAGAAGCAATTGTGTCCCATGCAGAGGATGGTGAGGCAGAAGAAGAGTTTCCAAGATCCATTTTTGCAAATGCTAGATCCAAGGGTTCGTAGTTGGCAAACTTTGGGTCTAAAGGTTGGTACATTGCGAAAGCATCCATAACTTGCATAAATAGAGGCCGATAGATGTAATCAATAAATGCATTAAGATTCTTTCGAGGCCTATAATCATCTTCCATAGACTCCTCGTATGCAGGATTAATGTAAGAAAAGGTTTGCTTGGCCATGAGGACTGTATCAGCCTTTTAGAAAGCTCAGATAGTGGGAAATGTTCAAGGCATAGATGAGAATTTAATGCAGTACAAACACTGCAATGATGGACGTCGGTTGCATTTCTAAGAATATGCAAAGCGCATGCACGTCCTAGGACGTGGGTGAAGTGCATTGATCCACTAATATCATCAAGTATTGGGTATATTAGTGCAGGGGGTAATGTTGGCTGTATAATTTGTAAAAGCCAATCACAATTCAGCACGTGGTGTGGATAGGGCAATTTAAGAAGTTAATACAAGTTGCCAACCAAAGTCAGGCACGTGTCAACCTGTATTGATCTGCGTAGCACTAGAACAATCGAGGGATACAAGGTGATATGGCCTAACGGTTACTCACAAAGTTCAAATTCAAAATCAGGAGGGAAGCCTAACTGCAATAGTGGCGTAGTGGGACTGACTGTGAGAGAGCATGTTCAGTTATCATTGAAAAGTATAAATAGCAGAGAAGGCCCCAGAATGAGGGATCCAGACTCAGATAAAAAAACCAGTTTATTTACTTCATATTTCCTTCCAGTTTTTTACAGTTCTTTACATTTCTGCACTTCAATTCCTGTACTGCACTTCATTCCTAGGAGTAGTTTCAAATAGTTTGTTAATGTAAACCTCTACGAGGCTGGGTCAAATCATTGTAAGCTTTTCATTTTGCTTAATGAAATTCAGATTCTGAAATTATTCTTCACTTGTTGTTATTTACTACATTCTCCTAAAACAAGCCACCAGTAAAAATCCTCTTCATTGAGGCTGAGAGAATTAAAACACAATCGTCTGATAATTGGTTAGTAATTAATATTCTGTCAGGACTGATTGATCCTTGCTTACATGCTTAAAATTACATTATTAACTTTCGAAAGCCAAAAAAGCCACCAAATGCATACCTCTTATTTTCTTTTATAATAAAATAAGAAATATGTACATTTTTATACATATTGATTAAAATTTATAAATTTATAAATTAACGGTTAAAACTATTACATGAATAGTTTAATATATTTACATGAATAGTTTAATAAATTTATAAATTAACATACATCATTGTATACATAAATAATATAGGAAAAAACTTGAAATTCTTAAAATATGATTCCTAAATTTATTCACAATAATTTGAATTACTCCATATTAATTATTAATTAGTTTAAAAAGCAATCAACCCAAGAACTAAAAAATCAATTTTGAAAAGATGTCTAGTATTTCTCAATAAAATATTATATGCACTATAAAATTATTTAGTTTGATTTATTATGGATTCAAAATTAACTAATCAACTCCAAATTTCAAACCAGAAAATGAATATTTTTATTATATTTTTTAACAAAGTCGAAAAGCTTCACATCCTCAGTCATCTTGGAGATCCATAAATAATAATAATAAAAATCTCTTCCTCACATTTACTAACTAATATTAAAATCAATGCACATATAGATGGAGAACTTACGGAATATACCTTAATAATACACATATAAATTGAGATGTACATTGATAAAATATAAGTCACATATATTAATATGTATTATGAATTTGAATACTTGACCTATTGAGTGAACGTCAAAAGGGAGCACGGGTAGACGGCTAGGGTTTTTTGGGTTAGAGAGTATAGATTGGAGAGAAGATATACCGTAAACATTTCCTTTTAAAAGTCATTCGTTTTGAAATCTATAAATTAAGGAGTAACTACTTTTTAAATAATTAATTAAATAGATTGGCCGATAGACTTTTTTTCTAATCTATTTTGTAAATTAAAAAATCAACAATTTTGGGATGGGACTTTGAAAGTGTCATATGCATTCTCATTAAAAAGACATTTTCCCTTATATAATAGATAGATAGATTGGAATTATCTTCACACCCACCCCTAGATCCTATCCCCTTAAAAAGTAAATAAAATAAAATAAATTGAAAAATATTGAAGTAGAGTCCTTAGAAAGATTTCTTCTTTGATACTCGAAGAGACCCGAGTCCGGATCCCCGGTCGCAGTTTCCTACGGCACTTCCTGCGGCGTTCCAAAACGAAGTCGTTTTGGCGTTAAATTCAATTTTTTTTTTCTTCTGTCGATGTGAACCCCAACCATCAAAGAAGACCATGAACAGAGGAGAGGAGAAAAACGAAACGGAAGGAGTAGAGTCGGAGGACGGCAACGGCAGGCAAGATGGCATTGATTCGGCGGTGAGGCGAGCCGAGGTAAGATGTGGTCCCTTCAATCTTCATTCTCTCCAAATCTTCAATCTTCATTATATAATATATTTGTTTTAACTGGATTTACAGATGATACTATCATTGAGCTTACATTTGCTCTCAATCCCACTCTTTAAATTCAGTAGCAGTACACCAGCAAAAAGGGAACCATACAAGAACTCAATATATTAATTTTTTACTTAAAAGTTGTTCCAAATCTCCTAATAATGTTTAAATAATTTTTTTGTAGAGGGGTTTGTGCATGAAACAGAGAAGGAAATGAAAAAATTAATGAACCCAAACATAGCATAAATCTATCTATGACTAATTCATTTGTGTTTGATCTCTTCATTTTGCAGGATGGATGTCTATACTCCATCTCTCTCTCTCTCTCTCTCTCTCTCTCTCTCTCTCTGTACCTGTTGATATGTTAGGGTTAAACAGAACATATCAGAGGAAGAGGAAGAGGAAGAGGAAGAGGAAGATGAAACTCAAATTTTGGGTTTTTTTTTTTAAAAAAAACACTAACCAAAACACGTCGTTTTGGCCAAAACGACCTCGTTTTGGTGAGGGCGGCAGGGAGGGTCACAGGAAAGGACGACCGAGGATCCTTGCTCGAGAGACCCAGGATGAAATGAAATTGGCTAGCGAACAAGAAGATAACTACCATTATATACTTCTTTTACTTAATTAAAAATAAATAAAAGGAGAGACCAGCATGTTGCGCGGATTTGGTTTTCAAGAACTATGATGGTCAGTAGCAAATCATAATTTTATAGACTTCTCAATGTTGTCAGATTCACTCTTTAAAGACTCATGTTTGATCAGAAACAGTGGAAAGATCAATACTCACTACTTTGTTGTGAATATGACGCATTTCAAAGGTGTTCCATTATTTAGATCTTCAATTGTGCAATTTTATTATGTTTTGGAAATTTTGTTTTGTCAATTATTTGATTTATATTAATTTAGTTTGGTTTAACGTTTTTTTTTTCTTTCTTTTTTTTTATAACAAATTTGGTTCGTCAATCACTAAGTTTTTATGAATCTAGTTTGATGGCTTTTTCAGTACTAAAAACTAGTGCCTACTTATATGAGAAAAGGTGATATCTCATGTAACATGGATACAATACAAGATATATCAATATTCATTACATAAGATACAAAACAGCGTACAGTGGGCAGTTTTTTATTCGTTTGTTTGTTTATTTTTTTAATTTAAATAAAATTTAAAATTAAATAAATAAATAAAAACAAAAAACTTGGGTAGACATTATGCTATAGATCCACAACACAACCATTATGAATATAATAAAAATCACATAAAATCAACTAACATCTAACTAATGTACCATGTAAAATATAATAAACTAAATGTAAGAAAAAAAAAAAATTGTGCGTCCAGCATTATAAGACAATGGGAAACAACACATGGCACAACAATGATGATAACACATTATATAATCATATGACAAATAATTATAATAAGAATTCACTTCATAGCCAACGTGGATGTATCACTTCATAGTCCACCTAGAGAAGAGGACATGGTAGATTATAGTTAACTATCTTTGTGAATATTGGGTGAGGGTGATTTTCCATCAAAGCCCTCATAATAATTTATTTATATGCATTTCCAAGACTTTTAAGAACATATAACAAAAGAAAAGTAAAAAAAGTTGTTCAAAGATTAAATCAACAACCCACTGGAGAATGAACAAACATATCTCAACAAGAACCATCCATCAATAATAACTCTACTCACACTGCAGTCTTGTTTTTTTCAGTTAGTCTCTAACCTCCCATCTGCAGATGCAAATGAACCCTTAAATGACCGATTGGCTATTGTCACCGCTGCCAAGTAAAGCTGATGAAGACGTAGCCAGAGCCTGCCACTTCTTGACTGCTTGTGGCAGCGTCATATCAAAGTCGATTCCATAAATGTCATCAGCATCAGGGTCTGATGGTTTCCAAAGCTCGGTGAGAGATGAGAGTACGTTGATGGCGTGACCCATGTCAGGTCTCTGAGATGAAGCCCTTGCGCAGCAGTGTCCAGCCAGCTCAGCAACAGTGCTGACACTGGCAACCGTTTCTTCATCAAGATCAATTGTTGGGTCAATAGCCTTCCGGAATGTGTCCTTCTTGTTATGCATTCTGCGGAACCATGTGACGAGATGAACACTCTCCTCCTTCTGGGTCTGATCTAGTGCCTTTCTTCCTGTAATCAGCTCCATTAGAATCACTCCGAAGCTGTACACATCACTCTTAGTTGTCACTCGTCCTGTCTCTGTACATTAGTCAAACATTAACATTTTAGTAATCAGTAAGATGAATGTTGAAAACCAAAAACAGAGAAAATGATGTGTAAACCCGAACACCCACCCCTGGGGAGTTTTATAGTAATTATAAATCATTATATGGGCACTTTCAATTCAACGAGACATAGTCATCAATTGTATGTGATACAATAATGAAACAAACCACACAATGATCTTACTCCAACAATATGAAGATTTATTGAAAATGTACAGACTACAACAGATACATTTCAAGTAAAGCAAAATAAATGGATTCATTCAACTTGGTAAACATACATCATACACCATGTGCGTACTGGGTTTCAAATAAACCCAAGATCAGCATGTCAAACAAGGGGTCAATGTGAAGGCTCTGTTTGTTTCAATGTAAAATATTTTGCATGGAATACCATGTTTCATGTACAACTTTTTACTTGGAAAACAATTTCATTATCTCATTTTCTGATGTTTTGCAGTGAACTTCCAAACAAATTTCAGGCAAGGTGAAAACAAATAATACATATTAATATATGTGACTTATATTTTATCTATGTACATCTCAATTTATATGTGTATTATTAAGGTTTATTCCGTAAGTTCTCCATCTATATGTGCATTGATTTTAATATTAGTTAGTAAATGTGAGGAAGAGATTTTTATTATTATTATTTATGGATCTCCAAGATGACTGAGGATGTGAAGCTTTTCGACTTTGTTAAAAAATATAATAAAAATATTCATTTTCTGGTTTGAAATTTGGAGTTGATTAGTTAATTTTGAATCCATAATAAATCAAACTAAATAATTTTATAGTGCATATAATATTTTATTGAGAAATACTAGACATCTTTTCAAAATTGATTTTTTAGTTCTTGGGTTGATTGCTTTTTAAACTAATTAATAATTAATATGGAGTAATTCAAATTATTGTGAATAAATTTAGGAATCATATTTTAAGAATTTCAAGTTTTTTCCTATATTATTTATGTATACAATGATGTATGTTAATTTTAATTAGTTTAGTTGATATCTGTATACACTACGTAATATATTTAATATATGTTCCTCGGTATAATTTGTAATTGACAAAGGGATGTCAAGCTTTGCGTTTCGTTTCAAGAATATGGCATTGATCAGGTAATTTTGAACTCACAATGATGACAAGTAAACAAAATCAAATTAAATAATTCTATAGTATATATAATATATTATTTATGTATATATTTACTTTTGTTAATTTTAATAATTTATTTGATACCCCTATTGTGGGATTTAATATACACACTACATAGAATAATTTATATATTATGTAATAATATTAATAATCAGACCAAGCAAAGTTTCAATGATTATGTCAAAATTGAGCTCAATTAATAAATCGTCTTAAAAATTTAGTACATAATTTATATCTGTATTTATCTATATCTATATATTATAATATCATATTAACTTTAAAATATTAATCTAAACATTTTAATTTTTTTTAATTTTAAAATTTAAGAAATATACTTAACATAAAAATATTGGCACATCTAATCATATTTAAAAAAAATTAGCTATATCTAACTCATATTTAATTTGAAATTTAAAAATATTAAGAAAACTTTTTAACTGTAACTTTTGTCTTACATAATTTCAAATTTTAAAAATATTTATAAGTCAAAATTTTTATTATTTTAATTTTGAAAACTAAAAATTACATGTATCATGTAAAAATTTTAAAAAAAATTTAGGTGACTAAATATTTACATCCAGTTTATTAATCAAAAAGGAAATTTCACATATACAAGTTAGAGGAAATTTAATGTGTTGTGCATATTTTTATGCAATCTCTAAATATACATGTATCGTGTTTAAAATTACATGTGATTTTAACTATGCCTACCACTTTCATGATAAACAAACTCATAAAAGATTATATTTTTTTTTATCTTCCCATCACTTTTTAACACTTTCATCCTAAACAAACTCATTGTAAGGATTGAACTTGAGCCAAGGATAATTGGCATAAAAATTGACTCAAATTTGATTTTTGGGTTACTTTTAGTGTTTTATCCAATGTTTGTCCTTTTTCTTTGGCTTATGTGATCACAACTTGAGAAATTATGATATATAAATATAAAGTTTAAATTTACTATTAATATATGTTTTTACTAATTAACCGTTCGATTTTTTAGATCAGGTGTAAGGCTTGGGTCAGAATACGACCTATAGTTTAAGCCGACTCGATCTTAGATAGTTGTTTTATACATAAATATATTAAACTATTCATGTAATAGTTTTAACCGTTAATTTATAAATTTTAATCAATATGTATAAAAATGTACATATTTCTTATTTTATTATAAAAAAAATAAGAGGTATGCATTTGGTGGCTTTTTTGGCTTTCGAAAGTTAATAATGTAATTTTAAGCATGTCAGCAAGGATTAATCAGTCCTGACAGAATATTAATTACTAACCAATTATCAGACGATTGTATTTTAATTCTCTCAGCCTCAATGAAGAGGACTTTTACTGGTGGCTTGTTTTAGGAGAATGTAGTAAATAACAACAAGTGAAGAATAATTTGAGAATCTGAATTTCATTAAGTAAAATGAAAAGCTTACAATGATTTGACCCAACCTCGTAGAGGTTAACATTAACAAACTATTTGAAACTACTCTTAAGAATGAAGTGCAGTACAGGAATTGAAGTGCAGAAATGTAAAGAACTGTAAAAAACTGGAAGGAAATATGAAGTAAATAAACTGATTTTTTTATCTGAGTCTGGATCCCTCATTCTGGGGCCTTCTCTGCTATTTATTCTTTTCAATGATAACTGAACATGCTCTCTCACAGTCAGTCCCAATACGCCACTCTTGCAGTTAGGCTTCCCTCCTGATTTTGAATTTGAACTTTGTGAGTAACCGTTAGGCCATATCACCTTGTATCCCTCGATTGTTCTAGTGCTACGCAGATCAATACAGGCTGACACGTGTTTGACTTTGGTTGGCAACTTGTATTAACTTCTTAAATTGCCCTATTCACGCCATGTGTTGAATTGTGATTGGCTTTTACAAATTATACAACCAACATTACCCCCTGCACAAATATACCCAATACTTGATGATATTAGTGGATCAATGCACTTTACCCACGTCCTAGGACGTGCATGCGCTTTGCATCTTCTTAGAAATGCAACCGACGTCCATCATTGCAGTGTTTGTACTGCATTAAATTCTCGTCTATGCCTTGAACATTTCCAACTATCTGAGCTTTCTAAAAGGCTGATACAGTCCTCATGGCCAAGCAAACCTTTTCTTACATTGATCGAGCATACGAGGAGTCTATGGAAGATGATTATAGGCCTCGAAAGAATCTTAATGCATTTATTGATTACATCTATCTGCCTCTATTTAAGTAAGTTATGGATGCTTTCGCAATGTACCAACCTTTAGACCCAAAGTTTGCCAACTACGAACCCTTGGATCTAGCATTTGCAAAAAATGGATCTTGGAAACTTTTCTTCTGCCTCACCATCCTCTGCATGGGACACAACTGCTTCTTCCTTTGCCCCACCACCCTCTGTATAGGACACAACTACTCCTTCTTCCTCTAGGACTACTGGCTGGGGAAGCTGGCCAGAACCTGATGAATCCAAACTAAGAGAGCGAATTCACCATCGATTCACCGAATTCGCTGATCCTCTGTCAATTCCTCTTTCTGCTTGGAGCTTAGTGGTTTACCCCTATGTACCCATTGATCACCGACGCAGTCTGGAGGACCAATTACTTGTGGCTTGGTACACATCTTCCATGCCCATTGTTACCCAAAAAAGCAACCTAAAAGAGGGGGTGAATTAGGTTTCTACAAATTAAAATTAATAATATGCCAATAAAATTAACTACTAGTACAACAAATTATTAACAAGCACAATGATGAACTTAGCAGTAAATGATCAAGCAAAATAACAATGAAGTATAACTAACATACATGGTAAATCAAATCATTAACATATGAATATTAGATAGCTATAGCAGTAGTAGGAAAGTAAAGAGATTAGGGAGGAGGAGACAAACAAATTTATAGTGGTTCGGCTTTAACCAAGTCTACATCCACTCCTCAAGCTTCACTTGAGATTTTTCACTATCTTCTAACTTCACAGGGGTGCTAGCAACCTCATAAACATGGACCAATCCTCCATAGATTTTACACAGACTTCACAAGCCCAAACCCTTGCAAATCTTAAGTGATTCATAATCACTCTCTAGATTTGAAGAACACAGTGTTTGCAACACTTTTACAAGATGAAATAGTATTTTTGCTTTCAAAGAAAGCTTACAATAAATATCTCTCCCAGATAGATATACAAAATGAAGCTTTGGTTTTTCTGTAAACCTCACACAGGAAAGATAGGCTTAAAACTATACGTCTCAGTATTGTAGACGTCCCCGGAACGCCCCGGGAGGGTTAAATCCCGTTCTGTTCATTTGGGGTCACTACAGCTCGGACTCGTAAATTTGTCACGGTTCTAAGTCTGAACCAAAGAGTCCAAATCCGGCAAATCGTTTTGAGAAAACAGATTTTTGAAAGAAGTGCCAAACATGGACTGCTTTGCCAGATACAGAGTCGCCACCTAAATATTTTATTTTGGAAAATTTAGGAAACCCTGACTCGGTGCCAAAAGGCCACGTGTCCGTCATCACCAAAGTTGCCTCGGCTCGGGAACTTGGATACGATTGGGGAAGGTCACTTCGTGAGCACCCCCGCTCGCCCGGTCATAGACCGGCCTCTACTAACCACGATATCAATTTTTGAAAACATTGTGAATTCTTATTCCGGTTATTAGCCTAGGTTACTATATGATGCGCACAGCATACAAGTATAGACTGGATCGCCTGAATTGGAACAAAACATTTCATGCTTGTTTATTTGAAAATGGTTTGATGATGCTACTCGCAAGTAGGCTAAGACGTGGATTTGCCACCCTCAGGTGGGCTTAGAAAACATGATTTTGCCACTATCTAGTGGGCTTAAAACACACATTTAATGAATTATTCCAATTCAAATAACCCAACCTTCACCCACAGGCATTCAGGCAGTTATATCACATAAGCATATAGCCTCATGGTAAGCATGCTATTCATGGCAGTCACTCACACGCATGCAAGGATGCTAAAGCATAAAAACTCACCGAGTACCCAAGCCAAAACAAGAAGCTAATTAGAAATACATGCATGATCCTAACTATATAGAAGTGCCTAATGCAACACATGCAAAAATACAACTATAGCAGGCTCGGCTATTCTAACATGGCATACTAAAATGCTAACACTAACATGTATTCAATTTGGAATTTGAAAGTACGATTGCCAGTTTAGCATGGTGCGCCGGCCCGGTGGCATGCCAAAACAGATGAATGAATGCAAACATGCCCGTCATACTGTTAATGCTAATTTAAAGATGCCCTAATCTAAACCATGCATAAGCCAGACTAAACTAAAGGGAGACAGAAACGTGGGTAGAAGACATACAACACACTCACGCCACACTTATTAGCAGTTGTGCCCTCACTGGAGGGTCCCAATAAATATACAGTCCAAATATTACAGTCCCGAATAAAAGAATATTCAGTCCAAAATATTACAAAATACTAATTAATTAATGAATTAACTAAGAAAGCAAATAAAACTGGCCGTGCAAGCTAGGGACCTGCTTGCTTCCTGATAGTGGCATGTCGGGTTTGTCTTTGCGCGGAAATCCACACGGAATGCCCCGATTAGCACTCTGTTTACACCTGTTCTTGAAATGCGTGCAATCCCCAAAGGTTGCTGATTCTTTGTTTTGCTGCAACAGAGAGCAGGAAAGGGGCATAGCAATGTATTTGCACAGATATATGCATGTCTCGACCCTCGTGCCACCAATCACGTGTACCGAGGCATGATGGCCGAGGAATCGAAATGCACAACTCAATATAGGATGAATGCACATGAAATTACAGCTAAAACCTAACTCCATCATGGATAATCCGGAGTGTTGGTGACTGGGAAATTGAGATGCATTCCGTCACTCGGAGTACGAAATGTACCTCATTTCCCGTGCCCGGGCTAACTCCTATTCCGGACATGATGCAATATGCATGATATGCATGAAATGCAACTAAGATGCAATCCTAACATACAAAATGCTATGGAAATGAGATGCCTCGAAGTGCGTGCATACGGGCACACAAACCGAGGCGATGACAGAATGTAATGAAAATGAGATGTCTCGAAATGCGTGCACATGGGCACGCAAACCGAGACGATGGCAGAATGCTATGAAGATGAGGTGCCTCGAAATGCGTGCACACGGGCACGCAAACCGAGGCGATGATAGAATGCAATGAAAATGAGGTGCCTCAAAATGTGTGCACACGGGCACGCAAACCGAGGCGATGATAAAATGCAATGAAAATGAGGTGCCTCGAAATGCGTGCACACGGGCACGCAAACCGAGGCGATGATAAAATGCAATGAAAATGAGGTGCCTCGAAATGCGTGCACACGGGCACGCAAACTGAGGCGATGATAAAATGCAATGAAAATGACATGGAAATGACAAATGGACTTATACCAACATGAGCGAGCCTCAGCCACACTCACATAGGATGCCGACGGATAAAAATAGAGTGCCTCAAAATGCGTGCACACGGGCACGCAAACTGAGGCAATGGCAAAATGCGATGAAATGACATGGAAATGATAAATGGGCTTATACCAACATGAGTGAGCCTCAGCCACACTCACATCGGATGCCGGCGGATAAAAATGAAGTGCCTCGAAATGCGTGCACACGGGCACGTAAACCGAGGCAATGACAGAATGCGATGAAATGACATGAAAAATGCACCAAGGACTTATACCAACATGAGTGAGCCTCAGCCACACTCACATAGGATGCCGACGGATAAAAATGGAGTGCCTCGAAATGCGTGCACACGGGCACGCAAACCGAGGCAATGGCAAAATGCGATGAAATGACACGGAAATGATAGCAATCATTCTAATGGAATTTCAGCAGTAAAATATGGGGGAAAACAGTCCCGAAATGAGGCGAAATGACATGAAATGCATGGAAATGTCCCGAAATATGAAATTAGGCACCCGAAATGGCCTATAGCTATGCCAAACAGGCACAATATGGACATGCAATGCAAAGACAGAAGCTATACAGTCCCAAAAGATGCACTTTTACAGTTATAAACATGGCCAAACAGCAAGCATAGGTATGGCAAAGATAGCATGCAAGAATAGGGGCCAAGAGAGGGGTAATGAAGCAAGTGATATAAGCAAAACCCAAAGTGAAAAATTTCCTTCTACAACACTGAAGAGTGACCAAAAATATGAATATTTACAGTATATGGTAGACCTCAAATCAGTATACAAACATGATAGAAATGTGATGCAAAATAAGGCTCAAAAAGGTGCTATAACATGAAGTATGTAAAATATTCACCAAACAGAAAAAAAGTGTGAATGAAACTTGAAGTATAGGCCAAAATAAGGCCACTTTAAGTTCGGACCAAGGTCCAAAAACAGAAGCAAAGGGGGCTGCCAATTTATGCCAAAATGGGGCCAAATAAGGGGTATAACTACAAGTGACACATGAAGACACCAAACAATGTTGAGCCCTTCTCCAATGTTGAAGAGGGGCTCGAAATAATCACATTTACAGATTACATCATGCTCAAAAACAGATTACTCATGAGCCAAAAATAGCAAGCAAAATTATGACATACAAGAGGATCAATGAAGCAAGTGTATCATGGAGGGCTCAAACAGGGTTGAGCCCTTAATGAAAAGTGAAGATGAGCTCAAAAGAGGGCCCTTTTCAGTTAGGGCCGGAGCTTGAAACAAAAAGGAAGTGGGGCTTACAAATAAATCAAGAAAAAGGGTCAAAAGGGTAAAAGTATTACTTACCCTTGAAGACTCAAACTTTTGTTGCTTCTTGGATGAATTTGCAGCTTCTTTGGCCTTTGAGAAACCTTCCTTGTTGCTGGAAATGAGATGGTGGTGGTAGAGCTTGGTGGTGTAGAAGGAATGATGGTTAGGGACTTAGGGTTTTTTGAAGAAATGAGAAGGAAGAAGATGGAGTTGTGTATGAAGACTTGAAGAACAATTTTTCTAACCCCAAAATACTACAAGGCTTGCTTGCTGTATAGGCCAAAGAAGGGGTGTAAAGGTGGGGGAAAAGGAGAGTAATATTCCCCCACGAAATATCCCCCAGATAAAGATCTTGTCTGGGGGAAACAGCTCTACAGCTGTAAAGTGTACAGTGCAAGGAAGCAGGCCGGCCCGGTACTTTTGTTGCAGGTGGCCGGCCGGCCACACCCCCTAGCCGGCCGGCTAGGGGTCAAAAGGTTCAATGACATTTTCTGGTCGGCCACCAACTGGTGAGGTCCCCCTATGTGTGTACAACACAACCATGTGGTTAAAAGTCCAAGAAAATGGGTCCAAGGGGTTCAACATTAGCTCGGAAAGAGGGGTTCAAAAGGGTCAATTTGAATTACTGGCCGGCCATGAACTTTTAGGGGCCTCTCATGTGTGTAGATCACAGATATGTGGTTGAAAGTTCAAGAATGTGGGCCCAAGGGGTTCAACATTAGCCCGGAAGAAAGGGGTCAAAAGGGTCAGGTAACCTTAATGGCCGGCCACCAACTTTTAGGGGCCTCCCATGTGTGTAGATCACAGATATGTGGTTGAAAGTTGGCAACATTAGCTCCAAGGCATTCAACATTAGCCCGGAAGTCAGAAAAACGGGCGCCGGAGGGCCTCGGAGGAG